GACCCCCCAGCGATCGCCCCTTGGACGCTCCCTATACCGCCGGTTAATCTAAATCTACTACAGAAAACCGACAAGAAAAACAACCCCACTGCTGCACGTGCTTTCTCTCTAGAACACCTGGAAGACAACTGGCCGTCTGATGACTGGGACCATGTGTACACGGATGGCTCACGCAATCCTGAAAGGGGCACCAGCTCGTTTGGAATATACCTGCCAAACGGGGAACAGGGAATAAGCAGGAAACCTCCCAATAACTGTTCGGTGTACACTGCAGAGCTTGTGGCCATTCATGACACTATATCATGGATTTCCCATCAAAAGACTAGTAAGTTCGTCATTCCAAGCGACTCTCTGAGCAGTCTGATTTCAATCCAAAATGACAACTCGGACTCAAGACCAGAAGTCATTTTGGAAATCAGGCAGCTAGCTGTACCAGAGGGTTTTAGAGAAGGGAAGCGAAGTAGAACTTGTGTGGATTCCATCACATGTCAACATTAGAGGAAACGAGGAGGCAGATCGACTAGCCAATGAAGGTCTCAAGGACACAACACCACTCCGCACCATAGACTACAGCACCACGGAAATCTACAGTATGGTCAAAAAACAGGTCAATTCAATCTGGGAATTAAATCACTTTGAACTTGACACATACAGATTCTGGCTGGATGACAAGATCTACACAAAGACAACACTCAATCACCCTAGAAGAGATATTTGTAGACTTATATCGAAGCTATGGGTGAAAGAGCAGCTGCGAGACTACAACCACCAAGTCATCATCTGTGAGTGTGGAGAAGAATGTACCACCAACCATGTGCTGGTGGACTGCGAGGTATACAAGGAGGAGAGAAGGGAACTAGTGAGAACAATGGAGACCAATCAACACTAAGAACCTACTCTTCCCGAGACCAGATCTGAAACTGCAAATCTTCGAACAAATCCACGCCCTAATGGACACAGTTGGACTAAGTAGAATAGTGAAGTAAGAGGGAGTCACGGTTAGACGGGCCCGGCATCTAAACACTAAACTACATAGGGGATTTATACCAAACTGGCAGGATAGTGGAGTAAGGGGGAGTCACGATCAGACGGACTCGGCATCTAAACACTATTCCACCAAAAACAGACACCAAACCTACAGAGTGGGATAGTGGAGTAAGGGGAGGTCACGATAAGACGGGCCTGGCACCTAAACACAAACCCCACAAAGATGACATCTACTAAACTAGCAGGATAGTGGAGTAAGGGGGAGTTACGGTCAGACGAACTCGGCACCTAAACACTATTCCGCAAATAAAACTGATACCAAACCCAGAGAGTGGGATAGCGGAGTAAGGGGAGGCAACGATAAGACGGGCCTGGCACCTAAACACTAACCCCAAACGATGATATCTACCAATCCAGAAGCAGACGCGATCATCTACCAAACGATATGTTTTATATTAAATAAAGGGAAGAACTTCCCACTAAACCAAATCCATGGCCTAAGGCCAAATGGAAAGATTGCAAAATCATATTCTAAAAAACAGGAATCAGCTTCGGCTCTCCTATGTCTTGTCTGCGATATCACTTATGTGGAAGCAGACGTTAAACACCAAGAACGAACGAACGGATATTTATCATTAACTTGAAAATGTGACCTGTATGTGTTACGAAACGTCGTTATTAAATAATAGAGAAGTAGTTACATCCATATATACCTTGTGTTGTGTTTTGTTATGAATAGTTAACTGTGCTTCTAGATGTCATTTAAAGATTTTATCTATTCATGTTTGCTTTCCTATCGGTTCTTGTATAAGATTTACTGTTTAGCATATCCTTGCTTTAGTGTGTAACATTTTATTTAATCGGGAGACGTGTTCGTCGACGTCAACGTCAAGCCTGCAAGAATAGACCGTGGCACTGTAAGAGGAGTGGGTCAGATTGCCCCAAATCGTGATTGGACGTTTGATTAGGGGCATGCCACGACGAATTGCTGAATGTCTGAAGATTGGTGGAGCAAATACTCATTAATAAGACAAAAATCAAAAACGTTTGTTTTCACTTTTAACATACCCTGGTTACCTCTAATAAAAAACGGCAGTGCATTTCCGCAGTTTTGTATTGTTTCTGAATATCCCCCACTTTCTTTGAAGAGTATACATTAAAATCTGATTAAAAGTAACAACTCATTAAGTAATTATCAGAAAACCATTAGAATTTGTTTGGTTTTTATAAAGTTCTGCCTCATGCTAACCTTTAGTATACAAAACATCATGGATTTAGCTGTTCAAGTCATAAAGATTCATTGAAAATCAATATACTTGTTCGTCTCAAGACCTTAAACTCTGTGTATCAATCCGAAGTCAATCGGATGATAATTTTAGCCTCTAGAACGTCACAGGATTTTTCAAAGTGATCAAGGGCTTTGGCAGTATTTATCCGAAATCGTTGAAAATCAATATGATTCTTCATCTCATGGCCTCAAACACTGTGTATAAATTTAAAGTCAATCGGATATTAACTTTAGCCTCTAGAGCGTCCACAAGATTTTTCAAAGTGATCAAGGGCCATAACTCTGGAAGTAATTATCTGAAATTGCTGAAAATCAATAGGATTCTTCGTATCATGACCTTAAACACTGTGTATAAATTTAAAGTCAATCGGATATTAACTTTGACCTCTAGAGCAGGATCTTAATCGGCTGTTTTTTGTTGGCTTTAGCCGATTGATCTTTAATCTAGCCGATTGGTAAAACAATAAACCGGCCACTAAGGTATCACAAATCAATCTACTTTCGGCCGATTTACAAAGAATTAATTATCAGGCCGATTGGTAAAACAATGAACTGGCCACTATCATAAATCAATCTACTTTCGGCCGATTACAAAGAGTTAATTATTACTCGTCGATTAAGAAACCCATCAAAGAGTCAATCATTACAATGAATACCGTCGGCTTATTTTATAAATAAACAACTTAATTGAGGTAATCATGCCAAGTACTTGAACACCTCACAGAATGACACCAGAAACGTAAACGAGATTTAACTGAAGATAGAGATAGCGGCGTTGACCTTGAACTTCAAGCATGCACGTCGTCAATGGAAATTCCAAAAGCCGGAGATCCTCCCACGTCCAATGTAGGTCAACCAAATTATCGGCAATAAAATACCATATTAATCTGACGATCATACCTACGTAGCAAAGAAAGACGATGGCAGAACAAAGAGTTTAATTCCTAAATCTATAGAAATTATTTCAAACCGGGCGTTAATCGAAATGGGTATTTCATAGCAAAAAGAAATCAATTGCCATCGAAAATTATGATTATGAACAATAATTGAACGATTTGACAGAACGGGACATGAAATGACAAAAAATTATCTCGTGATTTTAATTATTGTGGTGAAATTATTTCTTTAATATTCAGTGAAATTGAGGAAGAGATCCTCTCAGATATCCGAATGAGTCCTGCTGTGTATACTAGTAACACTAAAAATAAACTAACCTGAATCACGACAATTGGCCACGCGACCATTCGTAGGAACAGCATATTTCCGAGTTCCGACTACACGGAAACTGATTTGTGCTACTTTGTTATTTATATACTTTGTTATTTTTATATATATTAACATGTGCTTACGAATAATATAATTTAAAAAAAAAACATTTGTATGTAGGCCTACTTGTAGTTTTTACTAATTTATAACTTCCGTTTAGTTGGATGAAAGCAAAAGTAGGAATATGCAATGCAAGTTGCTGAAATCATAATGACTATAAATGTCGATATTATAGCGATGTATGGATACAAGTATGCAATTATAAAGGTCCTGTTTATTCGGAGTTTCAGCTATTATTATCCGAATACGTTATGCAATTAGTGAATTATGCAATTACTGTCGTGAATAGAATATGAATAAACCAACATGTTTGTTGTTGAAAAGACGACTATCCGTTAGGCCTACCCGTGGCCGGTTCATTTCAAAATGGATTAAGAACCCTGCTCTAGAGTGTCCATAAGATTTTTCAAAGTGATCAAGGGCCATAACTCTGGCAGTAATTATCGGAAATTGCTGAAAATAAATAGGATTCTTTGTCTCGTGACCTTGAATACTGTGTATCAATTTAACTTTAGCCTATAGAGCATCCAGAAGCAATTGACGGATAGCCAGTGCAGACGTAGCCATGCCCCTTAGAGTAAAGGGAGATAATCCAAATTAAGCCGGTCACCAAGCCAAACAATGATGGCGGCAGTTTTAACATTAAGCGATGTACCCAGCGATTTTTCCTCGAGGTATTTGCCATACATACCTTCGCTAAGACAGAAACAGCGAGCTACAGCTTTTTCCAGGGGGGTCATACTTCAAATCCATGTCCCTATCGGCCGGTATTGATGCAAATTCCATTCATATTTTCGCTCGAATTCATCGAAGCATACACAAATCGGACGAACCGCACCAGACGTCAATAGATGTCAACATACAAGACCAGACTATAACAGAGGCTCACTGTAGCTGTAAAGCAGGGTAAATATCAGCTTTTTTTTTTTTTTATAGAAATATCAATTATCATACAATAATTCATTAAACGTTTTCTAAAATGACAATTATTCATTTTTATTCTTTTGACTGATACACTGCATACTTTTGTCAAACACTAGTCTGGCTTCATCATCTTCATGTTATCCTCACAGTCATTATTAGCCTACTCCTACTGTACTACTTAGGCCTATTCATATTTGATCAGTATGATTTTTTTATTGCATGTAGAAATTGTAACATTATTTTATTATTTTTGTGGTTTTATTTTCATGATGAAAAATAGGAGAGGCTAAAAAATTTAAAATTGCATTGCCCTAGATCTAGGCCCTACCCGACATTATTTTTGTTTTTATTATTTCTATTGTGCTTTTTTTCAGTTTAACTTGATTTCTGTTTACCTGTTCAGTTTCTTTTTTTTATATTTTTTATACTGTAAGTATGTCCCAGCTACTTTTGTGTAGATGTTAAATTACCTGCTTATATTCAGGTGTGAATTTTTGTGATAATTGAATTATTGATTGAATTATTTAGTTTTATTTTTCACTAATAAATAGTAAACTTGAAAATTTTAATAAATTTGTCTATGATCTAAAATATGAGCCCATTATGATTGTATTTTTAGAATAGGTGGAAAGTGTGCTCATGTGTTAGCAATTATAATAATGATAGAAGAATGGAAGATAGCAGGATATAAAGATGTACCTTCTCAACCATCACCAACCTGGGAATGTAAATAGAAAAAGAAAGCCTGTGATGGCTAATTTTAACGACAACAGGTAAGTGTTCAGGTGACATAGGCAACCACCGCATTAGAAAATGTTCTTAGGGAGTTTTGTAATTATCGTGATCGTCCAGTTAAAAATATGATGCAAAAAATATAGTAAAATACAAGGAGTTTCACATGCATGCAATTTCTATAAATATGGTTGTTTAGTAGCTTGATACTTTCCTTTTCAGAAAAATTAAAGTATCAGATGCTAATATTTTACATCTTCAAACCTTGAAGGACAGTCCCATCACGTACTTGGTGAGCAGCACAGCTGACTCCATTACAACACCCATTGGCCCGCAACTTATTGGATCCCCACTTGCATATCATGTACGTAATAATGTATCTATATTGATTTGGGCCTGTATAAGTTTTTCAGTCAAACAGCTGATGCGAAACCGTAATAAAAACAATATCATTAGTTAACCCCCCATGTTTTCAGTACCATAACAAAAACACAATGGGGTATTTTATATTCCATTTCTATTTCTCAATAAGGAATGGCATAAAATTCGTTAAAACACAACAGACAAGCCATATTTGATTAACACAGCTGAACAAGCTCAGACTAACTTTATTGCTTAGGAGTTTAAACTGTTTAACCTGACATATTGCTCTTTCAACATGTACCCTGTTTAGCTATTTTAATTGTCTCTGCAACGGCTGGGGCACTCATTTGGGAGGTGGATCATGGCACAAATGGTGGAATATTTCAGCATAATCCGACTTTATTGATTTCTTTTTCTATCGTAAATCCTTTATCGGTCATAACTCCATCACCTTCTTGCAGTTTACCACTTTGTAATAATGATTTGAAAGTGTCCAAAAACCCACTTCTGTGCATTATTTCTTTGCCTGAGATTGATCCAGAAAATAACATAGATGCAAACACAATAGATCCCCTTGGGTCAACACCAACAAGACCCGTCAGTGTGGTACAAGATTTGTAGTCTGAATAACATTGCCTCTGTCTATGGAGGGAACTTGGTCTCTGAATTTTTATTTCTGTTCCATCAATTATGACTATTGTGTTGGGATAATCAGTTTTAAATTTTCAATGATAATGTCTCTGTTTGGCCATATAAAAAGAGAGTCAAGACTGTAAAACATATAGTTGATCCAATTAGAAAATAAACAGCTACAATCTTGGGAAGAAATTCCAAACATATCTGATATGTGTTTAAAATCAATGTCCTGTCTTAATTTTATTAAAACTAATAGAAGCTGATCGTCTAGAGAAACATCGAATAAGCTGCTAATATTCTTAGAAAATTCAAATGGTAAATCATCTGCTGGTACAAAAACCTTATATACATTATAAAAACGGTCATATGAAAAGCCAGTATAATATTGAAATGAATCTTTTTTTAAAGTTGAACAACTAAAACATTGCGTTGATAGGTCGATACTAGTTCCTTTATCTACTTGTTGAACTTGACCGCATTTAAGATTATCATTTTCCAGAATTAACTTTGCATGTTCTTCCTTCATTTTCATATTTTCTGCAGCAAGGGCCAAGATGTCCATCGATTGAAATCCTGAAAAATATGAACAGTAAATAGATTATAATATGTATTTCAGGCACCCCTTATGCAAGTGGCAACAGAACCAAGAGCAGAGAACTCAGATAAATGTGGTGAAATTGCTTTTCCAAAACCAGTTGCTGTACATTTAGATTTAGAACAGATAGAAAAGATGAAAGTTGAGTGGAAAGAAATAGATGTAAATCAAGATGAAGCCATAAAAAATAGAGAGATCCACAAGAAATAATAATAACAACTGGATGAACCAAAGAAAGTGTCATGTTACTGCCTCAAATTTTGGAGCTGTTATGAAAAGAAAGAAAGAAATAAATGATTCATTTTTAAAAAACACATTTGACAAAAGTAATTTTTATTCTGTTCCCACTTCTTATGGGCAAGCAAATGAAACCACTGCTAAACAAATGTATATAAAAGTTTTATTAAAACAGACTGGAAATCATATTCATGACATTGGATTTGTAATAAATCCTGCTTTTCCATTTTTAGGGACAACTTCTCGTAACTGGGGCCCAATTTTGCGACTTTGTCACTTTTACGAGACAGGATTTCTGCATAGAGAGAATATATCCCGAAAAAGAAACCATGCAGAAGCTTGTTTCAAAATTATCATGTTTTTATGTTGAACATTTAAAGCCATTTCTAATTAAAAATTCTACATGTCTATGAAATAAGTTTAACTAACCTGTGGCAGTATTAACTGCATTCTCTGTCTGTACCATTTTATTATTCAATGCATTTACTTCACAGTTTTCATACTCAATATTATTATTTGACTTTATAGAAACTCTGTAAAGAAGTTCATAATTATATAAAATTTGTCCATAAATATAAAATTTGTACATAAATATATTCAGTATTTTTATACCAGAGACTGTAATTTTGTAAATAGTAAAATATATCCTTGTTTGCTGCTAAAACCTGGCGTCTTATATTAATAAATATAATAATTAGACTAGCCATTAATAAAAAAAATGCAGCATTAACACAACTTTCTCTATTTTAATTTCATGCTATTACCATAACTTACAGTTACAGATGCATAAAGAATGTGTGTACTTTATACCAGGGTATAAATGAAATATATCTAAGATGATATACATGTAGAACAGTCTGTGGTGTAAGACAGAGAGAAATTGATTTTAAAGTCCAGTCGACAAAAACTTAATGTGAGCACAGGAAATAATTATTCTAAAGCTGATAAACCCATTGTTAATGTTACCTTAAAACCTTTGATTCAACCACTGCAGGTTTCTCAATATAATTACTTCTGGGTTTGGGTGGTGGTCTAGGTTGAGTAATGTGATCATAGTGCAATGCAGCGATGGGATCTGGCTAAAAGGAGGCCAAAATATAAGAAGAATGTTATTATATAAGTAAGTTTACATACTTACATGACCATATCATTCATATTGATATTACCAAGCTGTTAATTGGCAACTTGATTTGCTTTTTGTCTATTTTTTTTTTTTTTTTTTTTTTTCAAACTTTTTATTCAAACTTGAAATTAAGGCTCATGCCTGAACTATTCAGCCTGCAGGCCTGTCCTGTAGGAGTCAAACAAGAAACGATTCAAATTGAAATAAGATCAATTTCTATATTGATGATTATAATTTATAAAAAAGATGGTTTCTGCACTGGCTGTCAGTCACTTCTGCCCTGGTGCAATAACGGAATAAATTTAGAAAAATGTTTGAACTGACATTTTAATGTCACATTGGCAAAACACTTTAAAAACAGCCACATATAATTAGCCTATATAAATAGTATAATTATATAATACTATTAGGTAGCCCTATGGCTAGGCCTATAGGCCTACCAGTACTAGTGCCAGTGGTGATAGGCCTACATCACAAAAATGATGATGCAATAGTCAAGTACAGGTATTTCATTTTGTTTGGAAAAAAATATAGTAGGCAAGAAAGTCTATATGCATAAAAGTATAAATAAATAATAACCTTAGTGCACACAAGCAGATGTTTGGCCTTTCTCCGCTCACCCAGTATCTCTCCGTTTAACTGCTCGAAAGGTCGTCCGCATAAACGTATCCATCGTCTGGCTTTATCGCGTGTTCTTCCAAGCTTTGGGAAAGGAATAAAGGTTATCCCTCCTGTCAGGCTCTCCGGGTATCTACTATCCGAATTACACGTACCCCAAGCACATCTCTTTACCATTATGACGGGTTGGTGGTTAACGTCTGCTGGAAATACCTTTATTTACGTCTGGCGGGCTAAGTTGACGGGCACAATGACGGACAAAATATAGCCGGCTCACGCAGAAGGGAAGGCGTTTCTTGATTGGTTGATTTATTATTTTGAGTGACAGCTGCGATCCGTCAATTGTAGACGGCGGAACGTCGGACAGGGGGGACAACAATATACGACCACATTTAAATGTGGTCGTATAAAAAGGAAATAAGGATATATGTTCCAACCAGTGATGGGATTTAAAAAATTTCTTTGGGTCCACAACCTTGATATACCATATTTTTTACGCTATTTGAGAACGGACTGCAGCCATTTTGTCTGTCAATTTGGGGCCGATTTACATGAAATTCGAACTCAGCAATCCTTAGGATGTAACGGTGATATAATAATACAGCTTTTTAAATCAGATAAAAATTATGACCTCTATAGGGTCCACAAGCTAAAAACGCCATAATTCAGGAAGTTACAGTCCGATATGCGCGAATATCGAAAGGAACCGAGATCTTTGGTTTATAAACTTACATTTCAAGTTTCAACAAAATCGGATAAAAATTGTGACCTATATAGGGTCCACAACCTTGATTTACCATATTTTTACGCTATTTGAGAACGAAGGGCGGCCATTTTGTCTGTCAATTTTAGGCCGATTTTCACGAAATTTGAACTCAGCTGTCCTTAGGGTGTAATGGTGATATAATAATACGTTTTTTTAAATCAGATAAAAATTATGACCTCTATAGGGTCCACAAGCTAAAAACGCGATTTTTCTTACAATCAAGGGACATAATTTAGGAAGTTACAGTCCGATATACGCGAATATCGAAAGGAACCGAGATCTTTGGGTTATAAACTTACATTTCAAGTCTCAACAAAATCGGATAAAAATTGTGACCTCTATAGGGTCCACAACCTTGATATACCATATATTTTTATGCTATTTGAGAACGAACGGCGACCATTTTGTCTGTCAATTTGGGGCCGATTTTCACGAAATTCGAACTCGGCCATCCTTAGGGTGTAACGGTGATATAATAATACATTTTTTTAAATTGGATAAAAAAATATGACCTCTATAGTTCGAATTTCAGACATCCTTAGGGTGTAACGGGGATATAATAATACGTTTTTTTAAATCGGATAAAAATTACGACCTCTATAGGGTCCACAAGCTAAAAACGTGATTTTTCGTACAATCAGGGGCCATAATTCAGGAAGTTACGGTCCGATATGCACGAATATCGAAAGGAACCGAGATCTTTGGGTTATAAACTAACATTTCAAGTTTCAACAAAATCGGATAAAAATTGTAACCTCTATAGGGGTCCACAAGCTAAAAACATGATTTTTCGTACAAACAGGGGCCATAATCCATGAAGTTTCGATCCAATACATGCCAATATCGAAAGCAGCCGAGATCTTTTGGCGATAAACCTATATTTCAAGTTTCATCAAAATCGGATAAGAATTGTGACCTGTAGAGTGTCCACATACAAATTGTGGACGGACGGACATCCGGACGTACGAACGTCCGGACCGACAACAATATACGTCCACATGAAAATGTGGGAGTATAAAAATAGGTGCGCCTCGTTATTTTCATATTTAATTCCCGTACAGTATTCAAATTTATGTCAGTAATATTCCTACAAAATTACGTGTTGTCGTAATACGATAGAATGAAAGCGTGCCGACTACTGTCGACTCGTACTTTTTTTCAAAATCACCTCCAAAATTATCGTATTTTTCGGGGTATAAGTTGATACTTTTTTAACAGAAGTCCGGCATTCGTCTTATACTACGTTCTGACTTCTATCAGAGGCGCGCTGTCGATCTCTCGCTCCATCGCTCACCTAAATCCCAATCCTGGTGCGTTTTTTATTGCTCTCCTCGGTCCTTCGTAATCACTCTCCCCAGCTGCGTATTTTATTTCCACAAAAAACGTCAGAAATTGACGAGCATCAGTCGGCCTCGTTGAGTGTCATTCATGTTTACTTCTTAAACGCTTCCCATTAATTAGCTCCGTACCGAGTAATTTCATTGGTCAATATTTATATATCTACGCATACATGCCCAATCAGCAATTCGGTATTATAATCGTTCACACAATCTAGTCTCGATTGAGTCGATTATCCAGGCATTTTAAAGGCTAAGAAATTGAAGTAAATGTTCAGTCTTGTTGGCTATGAAGACTACAGCTTCGTCATGACAACAGACACTTCCACCCAGACCAAGCGCTTTTTCATTAGTGCCGTTATTTTAATGTTTACGAAGTTCTTCGCTCTTTTGAATATTATTATTCACGCCAGCTCTATATTTGTGTCTATGCCACCGGTGAAAGAGACAAAACATTGTGTGTCATTGAAAACTTTCAAAAGTTGGAAAAGTGTTTTTTTATTCTAGTCAAAATAAAAAAGAAACAAAATAATAGCAATACAGTGTTTCTTTTTCAAATAAACAAGATTGCATATGATTACATGTGTTATCATCTTTCCTTAAAGCAGGAGAGCAATTTTCATTTTTTTCCCAATCCATGGAGAGCTTTTCTTAGCTCCCCATGATTTTTTAGACTTGAAGACCTGAAAAAAGACAACCAGAAATTTTTTTGGCAGTGACCGTCGCTCCACGATACCGAGCCAGTGACATCATCTGCTAAATAATAGCACTTGCACGCGCTATCCCTAAAACAATTGACTACTTACATGTACACTATTCCAATCGAAATATTTGTCGACATTTCTCAGCTTGTTTATTTCTTTTTTTTAAACATAAACCCCATTCAAAATATTATCATAAACCCGAGAATATGCCATCAAAATAGAATCTTTCCTCCGACGTGATAATAGTCACGTTTACATCTCTTGTAGTTTCATGCGTCTCGCGAGATTTCTACTTTAGTTTTCGATTATTGTATTATAACCATGTGTGGATGTTTGTGTAAAATAGCTTTATATAACGTCCGCTTCCACCTGTGATATCGCAGAAAAATTAACGGATATATTGAGTTATAAGTTAACGTGATAATTGTCATGTTTACATCTCTTGTAATTTCACGCGTCTAGCGAGATTTCTACTTTCGTTTTCGATTATTGTATTATAACCACATGTGTGTGTGTGTGTGTGTGTGAAATAGCTTTATTTAACGTCCGCTTCCACCGAAGTGATATCGCAGACAAATTAACGGATATATTGATTTACAAGTTAACAGATAATATATTGATTTGGGGTGTCATGTACTCTTATAATATGTGACATCTATGATTAGTTTATATATATTGTCGGCTCACATCAATGGGATTAAAATGTTCGACAATGGAGAAACCACAAGATAAACATTTAGATCAAAATGATAATCATTCTTATTGGATTGATGAGTAGTCCGACAAAGGGGAAGCAATGACTTCTGTTTAAGATTAGATTGATGAATTGTCCGACAAAGGATTAAGTCAGTCAATCATGACAGATTAAGTAGTTAATCAAGGTAGGTGTATCGACTGTATAACACGATAAATAAGTTGATCACTTAAATACCTAATCAATCCAGCCTATTATCAACGATAATCGGGTTGAGTGGTAGTTATACACTCAGTACACTATATTAATTTGGGGATTTTGAATATTATTGACCATGTCTTGATATCCGATTGGGCATATTCCTGGTCGGACAATTTAGGACGTTTGGTAAAAAGCGTCGGACAGGTCCGGAATATACAGGCGAAATCCCATCTCTGGTTCCAACTATCGCCTGATATCATTACTCTCGATAATAAATAAAATCTTTGAACATTGTATTTATAAGCATGTCTTTAACTTCCTTCTAGACAACAAGACACTTACAAAATTTCAAAGTGGTTTTATGAAAGGAGACTCGACTATCTATCAACTTCTAGACTTACTCAAATAAAACCTTTGTTGTTTTAATGTATCAAATACATCAATAAGCAACTATGTGCAAAGTTTCGTGTTTCTGGATCAAAGATATTTTTCATAATTAGTGATTGAAAGTTGAGTAAATTCTCAACTTAAGTCTGAGAATGCTTTGTGAACTCGGGGCCTGAGCTCAAGATTCTGGGCGCCTTTATAGGGCGCACCTTTTTAGTTATATCAGATTTTGAAAAAATAATATTTGCTTTCAAAAAGTGGTACTGAACTGTCAAAATTTTAGTTTTTGGTAAAATTACATCACTTCCGGTGCCAACAGGAAACACTATCAGTAACATAAAAATGACAATTTAGACAAGGGAACGTATGAACTTTGTTTTATACAAATTGAACAATAAATAAATAATCTATGACCGAAAAACTAAATTAGCCAATGGCAGCTAACGTAAATTACTGAGCTGAAATGGGTTCACATTTTTGCTCAAGTAGGATGACTCTTTAATCCTGTGTAAAATACCATCAAGCAATATTCATAAATAAAAAAAATTGGGGTAAAAATTTTAATTTTCTAAACTTGGCGCCTTATATCTACGAAGATTTTGCAGAAAATCAAAATCACAAGTAGAACAACTGTGTGCCCTGTCTCAGGCTATGCCAAAATGTATTGAAAGTTAAAATCCAACGATTATTGTTAAAATTAAGACAATATTTTTAAAAACGACAACTTCGGTGATATCGGACATTTCCCATTGTCGCAAAACATTCAAAATAGCTTTATCGTCTACGTAACACCCACTTTCGCAGTAAACCGAAGACCCTGTAACGAAGTAACAAATAGTTGCCATGATATAAGCATAATAAATCATATCAGTTTAAAACCAGCGGCTGCCAGGCAGGATACGCCCACATTTTCGAGAGATGGATAGAGAACAAGCTAACAAGAAAGTGATTTTTCCTACAATCAAGGGCCATAATTCTGGAAATTACAATTCGATATGCGTGAATATCGAAAGGAATCGAGATCTTTGGGTTATAAACTTACATTTCAAGTTTCAACAAAATCGGATAAAAATTGTGACCTCTATAGTGTCCACAACCTTGATATACCATATTTTTACGCTATTTGAGAACGAACGGCGGCCATTTTGTCTGTCAATTTTGGGCCGATTTTTCACGAAATTCCAACTCAGCTGTCCTTAGGGTGTAACGGTGATATAATAATACGTTTTTTTAAATCGGATAAAAATTATGACCTCTATAGGGTCAACAAGCTAAAAACGCGATTTTTGGTTCAATCAGGGGCCATAATTCAGGAAGTTACGGTCCGATATGCGCGAATATCGAAAGGAATCGAGATCTTTGGATTATCAACTTAGATTTCTAGTTTCAACAAAATCGGATAACAATTGTGACCTCTATAGTGTCCACAAGCTAAAAACGTGATTTTTCGTACAAACAGGGGCCATAATCCATGAAGTTTCGATCCGTTACATGCCAATATCGAAAGGAACCGAGATCTTTTGGAGATAAACCTATATTTCAAGTTTCGTCTAAATCGGATAAGAATTGTGACCTGTAGAGTGTCCACAAACAAATTGTGGACGGACGGACGTCCGGACGGACAGGGGCGACGGCATAATACGTCCACATGAAAATGTGGGCGTATAAAAATATATATTTGCTTTCGAAAAGTGGTAGCGAACTGTCAAATTGTAGTTTTTGGTAAAATTACGCCACTTACGGTGCCGAAAGATAACTCTATCGGTAACAAACAAAGATAGGTTGCCCACAGCTGCTAAATTTTCCGAG